AAAGTGATTACAGCAAAGAATCGTGTCCAGTTTGTGACTGGACATCATGCAATACTAGGATGAAGGCAAGTTCAGAGAAATTCTTAGCTTGAGTTGCCCAATTTTGCTTTGTTATTTTATTTTTACTTTAAAAGATAAAAATGGGGCTATCAGATTGGATTCTTGAGTGTGCTGACAACAACCCAAAGCAAGTGTTTTAAACATTATTTGAGAAAAGAGATTGTTAGATATCATGTTTTCCACATGGAAATTTTTAAAAACCACTTTTTTTTTTTTTTGAAGAAAGTTTGAACATATCAATGGAAAAGGATTTGAGCACTAGATTATCTGAAAACACATTTGTCAAAAAAGACACAATTAGCACTCATTTTATATTAGCCAAGAGATGGCCTTTCCCTTTATGGATGAGTTTAAGCAAAACTTTGACCTTGACTCCTCCCTCTTTCCACTCTTTTTTAAAAGTGGACCAATCAAAAGGCAAGAAGAAAAGCAAAGTATCTGAAATACACCCAGACTGACCCTCCTGTCCCCACCTGCATGGCTACAAAGATAAGCATTTTGGATTCAGCCAGTAATGATCTGTGGATCATTAACACCAACTCCTTCATTTTAATAGCGAGGTGATTGCAGCGAAATAGAACTACAAAGATGTGATTCTATTTTAATACTGGTCTATCAATTAACCCAGTCCATATTTCACATGTAAATAGGAGTAAACGGGTTTACACGTACTGTGTAATGTAATTACAGTGGGATTCAATAGATGGCACAAAAGAGCTCTGTCCCCCACATTAAACCTGGTGACCAGTAAATAAACATTTGAGGAAGTACATGAATTGTCTTCTGACTGCCAAGGAGATACACGGACAGATTGCTTTGGTAAGTGATACATTTTCTTTTAATTCTATAAAACAAAATAATGACATAACCTGCTATTGAACACAAAAATCTCAGGCTCGATGAGGAAGTGCATTGTTTCTGATATGTAATTCCTGTGGTTTGAACTAGCGTTTGTTATTCGGTTCTTTGTCCTAAGTCAGAGAAAGGGTTTTTGTATGTGTGTATGTTTACTTTTTTTTCGTGAATAAGACATCTCAAGCATGATTTGCTTGCCAAAGATATATTTGAGTTGAAAGATGAGAGTTTGGGTCACACAGACTTTCTCACGATTTTCTTATGGAGCTGCTAGTTGTTGACTTCAAGTGACCTTGTTCTTTCTCCCATCCCTCTCCACCCACCTCCCACATTAAATCTCTAGATGATTTAAAGTGTAGCCATGTAGCATTCTGAGAGTGATGAGGGGGGCAGTGAGCAGAGAAAGGTTTTGAGGATGGGAGAAGTTTCCTCCTCTTAAATTCAGTGAGAATGGGAGGGGAATGGGATAGAGCTGAGTTACTCCTGGAGGCCGTGCTGCCATACACTTCTTATGGGCAGGTGCATTTTAGTTTGTTCTCTGGGCTGTCCCCACAAGCTATTCTTTTCCCGTTACTCAGACCACAGAAGCTGTTCTGCGGTGCTACAAGTCAGGTGGAATTGTAGGTTTCAAAAATGTTTCCCAGGCTTCACCCAATTTGATCAAAAGAGTTGAAAGTGAAAAGACCAAAAGTTCACAATACCACATAGGAAACAAAGCAGAAGAGCTTTTGAACTGATTCTGATCCTTTTAACCTGTGGTTAATGCCTTGTTGGTCTGGTGCAGAGAAGACTGACTCAGTATTTGCGAACTGAACTCAATGGGCTAGATAACTCTCGGGGTATCATCTATTAAGACAAGTCAACATCCTGATTTGATGCCCATAAAGTCTCCAAACAAAGGCAATTCAAATGTATTGTTGTATCATATCATATAGTGGGAGTCTAAACTTACCACAATCATGTAAGTTGACATAGATAGATCTTACTTTTATACTTTCAAATTGAAGCACTCTTTTACTAATCAACTTAGCAAATAACTATTCTATTTGGTAGTAAAATAGTTTTGGGGTTTTAATATATTTATTAGAACCCCAAAAGTATTTTATATATATATATAAAATATATAAATTTAGTGGTGGTTATTAGGACTTTGATTTAAAAATATTGATTTTTTCCACTGATTTAGCAAGTTTGGTATATAAAATAGAAAGATCCTGTAAGTACCTAAGATTTGGTTGCTCTTATGTACAATACTTTGGCTCTTTAATTACAGAAATAAAGATGGTTTCACTAACTGAATACTTCAGATTAGTTATTATAATTGGGAAGGCAAAATAGAAGTTGGGCAAATAGAAGATAGCTGAGTTAATTAATTTTGCTAGATATAAAGCTGAAGCCATGCTCTCATTAAATGCTGGAGACAGCTGGATTGGTTTGGCTCAATGGATAGAGCGTTGGTCTGCGGACTGAAAGGTTGAGGGCATGTACCTTGGTTGCGGGCACATCCCCAGTAGGGTGTGTGCAAGGGGCAGCTGGTCGATGATTCTCTCTCATCGATGTTTCTAACTCTCTATCCCTCTCTCTTCCTCTCTGTGAAAAATCAATAAAATATATTTTAAAAAATATTAAAAAATAAATACTGGGGACAGACATTATATAAATTTAAATCTTTGTGGTGATTACTGTTGTTAATGAAATGAGGACACCTCTGGCCTTTCTTGTGGTGGGTCCACTGTGTATTAAGCCCTCTTGTCCATCCATGGGGTTCTGTCTCTAACCCTTATTTCCCCAGTCTCTTTCTGTATACCATGATCACTGCTTCTTTGAACTGTGGAGTTGCCCAGAAGGTAGAAAGATCCCAGATTTGAATTCAGGCTTAAGAATAAGTAAGGACCCCACTTGAGCCTTACACCTAAATCACTTTTACTTTGTCTTACATTTACCAAATGGTTCTGTTTTAAAATATTAGGCACTGGCCTAGGCAATGTCAAATATCATTTTGATGTTCATTTAAGTATTTTCATATTAGTAGCTCTTTCAGGAAGTTGGGAGGAAGAATTGGGAAATTTCTGGGACTTTCAGCCAAATATAACTAACACCATAAAAATGCCACGTTTACTGTTAACATGCATTTTAATGTGTGTGTCCCCTTCCTTGCACAGAGTCTGCATGCAAAGTGATGGAGGGGATGGTACCATGCCTTCTCCTATATTAGGAGAAATCAGGATAACATGGGATCATTGAGCATTTGTACAAAAGGGCAAGTCCAAGCAATTTTTCAAAACCAGATACATCTGCATGTCTAATTTGGGGGACTTTTGCAATGCAGGGTTATATCTGGGACTTGATACAACCTTTGGTGCCCATTGGAGTTGCTACCAAAATCATTGGATGCTTAAGTCTCCTTTATAAAACTTAGAGGCCTGGTGCATGAATGGGGCTGGACCAGCTTGCCCCAATCAGGGTGGGAGGGTTGATAGGGGGTGGGGCTGGCTGAGGGGATGGGCTGAGGATAGTCACACTTCCAGTTGAGGGAACAATTTGCATATTAGCCTTTTATTATATAGGATGGTGTAGTATTTGCATGTAATCTAAGCACATCCTCCCATATACTTTAAATCATCTCTAGATTACTTTTAATACCTAAGACAGTGTTAATGTTATGTAGTTATTATATTGTTGAGGAAATAATGACAAGAAAATAAAACTGTACATGTTCAGTAGAGATGCAACCATCTTAGACCTAAGAATATAGTACATATCAGCAATAATATAACATTACTTTTTAAAGAAAATTTGATCTGTGTTTGGTGGAATCTATGAATGCAAAATACAAGGATTCAAAGGGTCAACTGTGCCCACTGGGAGATATGAGAAGAATTTGGTGCTTTGTTGATACTGATGACTTCCTTGTCTAAGGATTTTGAATAAGATCCTTGCAAGATCTGTGTAGCCATGTAGCATCAGCTCAAAACGTGGGTGAGGGGTGTATTACTCTCTAGGGTTCATACCAACACAACTCCTTCTGGTCTCATGTGCCATTGGAATGGTGATTACAAAATAATCTGAGCTATAGTGGGTTGACAACTAATGCAGTAATCATAACCTAGAGAAAACACTTTATAGGAATAAATACACACTGGATGAATGAATTTAAGAGGAGGAAACTTCTTCCATCCTCAAAACCTTTCTCTGCTCACTGCCCCCCCCATCACTCTCAGAATCGAACCCCAACTCCTGGCAATGATCGACACACTGTGCAACCTTGGCTCTGACTCCTCTCATCCTGCTCACTCTATGCTAACATTGACTTCTTCACCATCCCTCAGATAAGTCAGTCTCACTTCCATCTCAGGACCTTTCCACTTGCCTTCTTCTTCACCAGAAATGCTTTCCCCCCCAGATCTTCCCATAGATTACTCATTCACCTCATTCTCCTAACCCTCCCCGTCATGCAACAGAGCTGTCTGCCTATTCTCTATCTGAGTCTGTCTTGATTTTGCTTGGTAGTAGAGTTTGTTCATTAAATTCTACAAATGATTAAAATCATATAGTACTTGTCTTTCTCTGACTGGCTTATTTCACTTTGCACAATGTTCTCCAGGGACATCCATGGCTGCTACAAAGAGTAAAATGTTCTTCCTTCTTATGCCTGCCATTATTCTTAATTAATTAACCTGTTTTATTTTTCTATATAGCACTTATTACTACATGATCCTTAATTATCTCTGCAAAGACCATTTCCTCCTCCAAATAAGGTAATATTCATAGTTTCTGGAGATTATGACATGGTTAGGAGGTGGACATATCTCTTGGGAGGGGGCACCTTTCAAGCCATTACACCATATAGGTAGGATAATTATGTATCAATATGTGTATTTCCCTGGTTTTAGGTTATATGACTCCAAAAAAGGTAGCCTACATGTTATGAGTCTCTAGTAAAAAAAAAGTGTTTAATATCAACCATGCTCAATTTAATGCAATAATTTAATGTGGATTGTTTTTCTAGGATCTGTATCTGTATCAAGATGCCCTGAAGAATAGCAACTATCCTCAGGAACATCTAGTGTTACAAAATAACTAAAATGAATTCTACCGTCTTCCATTTGGTCATCATATTCATATTAATACTTGAGATCAAAGTCCAGTTACCTGAGGGAAGTGAATTTTTAGTTGACAGATCAAAGCGGGGTCTCACCCATGTTCCCAAAGACTTATCCTTGAAAACAACAATCTTAGATATATCACAAAATGATATATCTGAGCTTCAGGCTTCTGATATCCTATTACTATCCAAGCTGAGGGTCTTGAGAATGTCTCATAATAGAATCCAGTATCTTGACATGAGCGTTTTCAAATCTAACCAGGAATTGGAGTATTTGGATTTGTCCCACAATAAGCTGGAGAAGATTTCTTGCCACCTTACTGTGAACCTCAAGCACTTAGACCTCTCATTTAATGCATTTGATGCCCTGCCCATTTGCAAAGAGTTTGGCAACATGTCTCAACTAGAATTTCTGGGTTTGAGTGCCACACAGTTACAAAAGTCTAGTGTGCTGCCAATTGCTCATTTGCATATCAGTAAGGTTTTACTAGTCTTAGGAGACCTTTATGGGGAAAAAGAAGACCCTGAGAGCCTTCAAGACCTTAACACAAAGAGTCTGCACATTGTTTTCCCTGCAGGAAAGGAAGTCCACTTTGTTCTGGATGTGTCAGTCAGCACTGCAGTAAGTCTGGAACTGTCTAATATCAAATGTGTGCTAGATGATAATGGATATTCTTATTTCCTAAGCATGCTGTCAAAACTTCAGAATAATTCAAGGATAACAAATCTTACTTTAAACAACATTGAAACAACATGGCATTCTTTCATTGCAATGTTCCAGTTGGTTTGGCATACAAGCATAGAATATTTCTCAATTTCAAATGTAAAACTACACGGTCGTCCTCAGATCAGAGATTTTGATTATTCTAACACCTCAATGAAGGCCTTGACTATACACCAAGTTGTCAGTGACGCATTTAGTTTGCCACAAAGTTACATCTATAAAATCTTTTCAAATATGAACATCCAGAATTTCACAGTGTCTGGTACCCATATGGTCCACATGGTTTGCCCATCCCAAATGAGCCCATTTCTGCATTTGGATTTTTCCAATAATCTCTTAACAGACATGGTTTTTAACAATTGTGGGACCTTGGCTAGGTTGGAGACACTTAGTTTACAAATGAATCAATTAAAAAAACTTACCAATATAGTTCATATGACCAAGGAGATGAAGTCTCTACAACAATTAGATATTAGCCAGAATTCTCTAAGCTATGATGAAAATGAAGAGTATTGCTCTTGGACTATAAGTTTATTAAGTTTAAATATGTCTTCAAATATACTTACTGACACTGTTTTCAGATGTCTACCTCCCAGGCTCAAGGTTCTTGACCTTCACAATAATAGAATAACAAGCATCCCTGAAAATGTCCTCGGTCTGGAAGCTTTGCAAGAACTCAATGTTGCTGCCAATTCTTTAGCCCACCTTCCTGAATGTGATTCTCTCAGCAGCCTCTCTGTACTGGTCACTGACTATAATTCCATTTCCAACCCATCAGCTCATTTCTTCCAGAGCTGCCAGAAGATCAGGTCCATCAGCGCAGGAAACAACCCATTCCAATGCACATGTGAGCTAAGGGAATTTATCCAAAGTATAGGCCAAGTTTCCAGTGAAGTGGTAGAGGGCTGGCCTGACTCATATAAGTGTGATTATCCAGACAGCCATAAGGGAACCCTACTGAAGGACTTCCATGTGTCTCCATTATCTTGCAACACAGCTCTTTTGATTGTCACCATTGGGGTCACTGGGCTGGTGTTGGCTGTCACTGTGACTGTCCTCTGTGTCTATTTCGACCTGCCCTGGTATCTCAGGATGATGTGTCAGTGGACCCAGACCCGGCACAGGGCCAGGAACACACCTTTACATGAACTCCAAAGAACTCTTCAGTTCCATGCCTTTATTTCATACAGTGGACATGATTCTGCCTGGGTGAAGAATGAATTACTACCAAACTTAGAAAAAGAAGATATACGGATTTGTCTCCATGAGAGAAACTTTGTGCCTGGCAAGAGCATTGTGGAAAATATCATCAACTGCATTGAGAAAAGTTACAAGTCCATCTTTGTTTTGTCCCCCAACTTTGTTCAGAGCGAGTGGTGCCACTATGAACTCTACTTTGCCCACCACAATCTCTTTCATGAAGGATCTGATAACTTAATTCTGATCTTGCTGGAATCCATTCCAATGTATTCTATCCCTAGCAGCTATCACAAACTCAAAACTCTCATGGCACAGCGAACTTACTTGGAATGGCCGAAGGAGAAGAGCAAACATGGACTTTTTTGGGCCAACCTAAGAGCATCCATTCGAGTTAAGTTGATGTACCAAGTAAAAGAAATAGATCACACATACATCTAAATATGTTCCCCCTTTCACTGTTGCTGCTTTTGGAAGTTCCAACAATGCCTTTATTTTACATCAACACAAACTAAACATAATTTTGAATTTATAAAATAAATAAAAATGTGTACTTTCAGGCCCCTGTTCAACCATTTACTCATGGTAATAAAAATGAATGAAATTACATAATTTTGATATAAAGTCAATTTCTAACATATGAGGGATTTACTTGTTTTGTTTTGTTTTTTCTTTCTATTATAGAACTGAATTCATTGAATTTATCATGTAATCAAAAGAAGCACCTATTTAAAGAACTTTAATGATATATGTTCCTATGTTCTGGGGTTAATGTTAGAAAACTTCATGCCTTTTACACCTATAACTGGGTTGGTGTAGTTGTTGGTACATTTTTAATTTCCACTCAGCATTTTCTTCTATGTGTTGAAAGCTGCATATTGGTAATGCGGGAGACTCTTTGCCTGATGGGCTTTCTTGCTGGCCATGAGAACACACTTGCCCCACAAAACAGGGAATTCAGAAATGCTGGAGGTTGTCCTTTGAAGCAGCCCTTAATCAATGCCTAATCTATATCAGAGGGAGAATTGGCAGGTAAGTACAATTTTTCTCACCCATTTTTGGAGACAAATCTGGGAGTGTGCTTTACACTCTCCCTGAGTTCCCCAGTGACATAGAATTCTGATTTTCCATGGTAGAAAACAACTGGGTAAGCGTTCTTTATTAGGTTACTTTTTATTCGTATCTCATTCCACCAAGGATGTTTCCTGGGATCAGCTCTGAAATCAATGACCTATAGTTGAATATTTGTCTCAGGGTCTGCTTCTGAGGGAACCCAAGCCAAGAGTTTGTTGCATCTCAGGTCAAATGGAAATTCTGAGTCTGGTTTTCCATGGCTGGAGGTCTTGCTGACATTCTAGTTGTCTGACCTGGCATGTAGGAGAGCCTTTGCTTTTTGGGTCAGAGGAGGAATGCAGTCAGTGTGTACTGCTTCTATACTCATTCCCTTTGGGGAACTATTAAAATAGGGCATGGGCAGGTTGGAGCAATGCAAGAAATGGGCTCTATCAGATATTTATTTCCAGCTTTAGTTTTTCAGATATTTATCTTACTCATCTAATATTCTGCCTACCCTTTCACTTTGGCAGTCAACTCTGGGCAGGTGTAGCCTGACAGCCCCTTGTCATAACTGCCCCCTATACCTCTCACTTTATGTCCTGTGGCTAAGACCACTGTACAGGATGTTTATAGAAGCTTGTTCAATCATTATTGTATATACACAAATCTAGCTGTGCCAGGGATATCCCTTGAGGAGATCCTTGACCATTTAAATATTCCTCTCTTTTATTTTTTGGGTAAAAAAAAAAAAGAGGCGTAGTCCAGTGATGGAAATTTAGTTAGACTTATTTTGGCGATCATTTCACAATATATACATATATCAAATAACTATGTTGGACAGCTGAAACTAATATAATGTTATATGTCAATCATACTTTAATATTTTTAAAAGTCCATCATAATAAAAGAAAAAAAATGAGTCATAGTCTACACCATTCCTCAAAGAGTCCCCAACAGAATTGAGCCTTACTTACTCATAGGATTAACGAGATCAATAACTCACTTTTGGATTGGCTTTCTCTTCTTCCTTGTTTCATTCTTCTTAACTCCCTTATTCTAAAGCCCTGAGATTAAAACTTCAAATAATTTACCTTCACACAGAGCTCTTGTTTCAGTCTCTACTTCCTTGAAGAGAAACCCAAGTAACACATACATATACTAGTTGCTTCTTGTCCTAAGAAACTTAGAGTTAATCAGAGGATGTTGTATGTATCCAGATAACTAAAATAAAAATCAACAAAACAAAAATATACAACTGAAGTTCAGAGATCATTTAGATTGACTGAAGAAAATCTTAGAAATAATGTTTTTGTGTTTGTTTTTTTTTCCCATTGGGCCTTGATGGAAGACTTTAATTTTAGATTTTTCAATGTATGGTGAAGAATAGAAAGGTCATCCTAAGTAGAGAAATGAAGAAAAAAAAAAAAAAAGATAGGAATACCCAGGCCTATTTTGCGACTGCTGTCTCAATTTGACTGAACCATGAAGTTTATGAAAAATGATAATGAGATTTAAGCATGGAAAGTTAAAGTAAGATAATTTTGTCAAGGCTCTTGAAATATAAAGTATAGAGTTAGAACTTTGGGATATAGGAAAGTCATCATTTAAACTTTTATAAGGAATAATAGTGAAAACCAAATTAGAACCATGAAATATATGCTGAAAATGCATGAAGGCTCTTGTTGTGTAATGGAAGTTGCAAACAAAACTAGATTTTCTTGTGTGTGTGTGTGTGTGTGTGTGTGTGTGTGTGTGTGTGTGTGTGTGTTTATTTCAGGATGATTGCTTATCCTGTATTGAACTTCAATATTGCATAACCAAGTTTCAGTTGCTCACCACCACTTGTGTCTTAGTTTTCTAGGGCTGATATACTGCAGCTCTGCAACCTAAGTGGCCAAAACAATAGAAATGTATTGGCTTTCAGTTCTGGAGGCTGGAAGTCCAATATCAAGGTGATGGCAGGGTTGGTTGCTTCTGAGTGGAAGGGAAGAACAGTTAAAGACCTCCTCTTCTTAACTTATAAAGAGCTATCTTTCCCTGTGTTTCTCTTTTTTTAATCTTCACCAGAGGGTGTATTTTTATTGATTTTAGAGAAAGAGAGAGGAAGGGGAAAAGATTATATATATATATATATATATATATATATATATATATATATATGCAGAGAGAGAGAGAGAAAGAGAGAGAGAAAGAGAGAGAGAGAGACATTGGTTGGTTGCCTCCCATACTCACCCTGACTGGTGCTCAAACCTGCAGCCTAGGTATGTGCCCTGACTGGAATTTGAAACTGCAACCTTTTGGTGTATAGGAAGATGCTACAACCAATTGAGCCACCTGGCCTGGGCTTTCTTTGTATCTCTTTACATCATCTTCCCTCTATGCCTGCCTCTCTCCAAATTTCCTTTCTTTATAAAGATACCAATCATTTAATTAGGGCCCATCCTAATGACCTAATCTTAACTAATAATATCCACAATGAATTTATTTCCAAATATAAGGTCACATTCTGAGATTCTGGTTTAGGACTTCAGCAAATGAATTTTGGGGGACAGAGTTCAACTCATTACATCTTGCAAATCTGAAAAATATCCTTAATTGGAGGTATAAACTCAGTTTCCTTTTTGAATTCAAGATTTTAAGAAGAGAAGTTAGATTAATTATATATCTGATCTCAGAAGTGGTTTTAAGAAGGCTGGGAGGAAGTTGAAATTGTATTGGTGGAGACTTCTGCAAAAGACTTCCAAGTTGGGAGATTAAGAATTCAGGTCAAGCTGAAACCGGTTTGGCTCAGTGGATAGAGCATTGGCCTGTGGACTGAAAGGTCCCAGGTTCAATTCCAGTCAAGGGCATGTATCTTGGTTGTGGGCACATCCCCAGTAGAGGGTGTGCAAGAGATAGCTGATCTATGATTCTCTCTCATCGATGTTCTAACTCTCTATCCCTCTCTCTTCTTCTCTGTAAAAAAATCAATAAAATATATATTTTTAAAAAGAATTCAGGTCAAAGTATGAACAAATTTTCCGTAATGAAAATAATGTTTTCACAAGTAAACTACAGGAAATATGGCAGAATGGGTAAACAGTCTCTGATTCTGAATCTGGGTTTCAATTCTGGCTCCCTTAATTATTTTTGACTGATTTTGAACAAGTCACTTAAACTTTCTAAGCCTAAATTTCATTATTTGCAAAATGCATCCTTAAAGTAGCTAGCTAAGATCTTTAGATTTTTATGTATAAATTAAAGACTAGTTATAATATGTTCCTCAAACTGCAGAGTTCACATAGCAAGCTTTGGTTCTGTTGAAGCCCCTCTTACTAAGATTGAGGTGAGAGCACACACCCTCCCACCACCCAGTCTCATACTGTTGTTAGGAGAATTAAATGAGTTAATACATAATGTGCATCGAACTGTGCCTGGTACAAAGCAAAAACAAATGCTAGCTATGATGATGATGATGATGTCATTATTATTGTTGTTGTTATTATCTTCATTATCTTATGCCACCAAATGTGGAATTGGAGCTAAGCTGCTAATCATGTTTAGTCTAGTCTAGTCTAGTCTGGGCTTTCTCAGATTAAATAAAATCAGAAAAGACAAAATTTTACTACATAAAAACTGAAAACAGTTCTATGTTAAAACAAGCAAAGATTTGCCATCGCAAAATGGCAAATGGGGAAATAATAAATTTGGAAATAGCTGGTAGCAAATATCACAGATAAAATTCTCTTTTCCTTTTTTATAGAAAGAATTACTAGCATTAAATTAGTTAATTTAGTTATCCTCATATTGAATCGAAACAATGGCATGCGGTTTAGAGGCAAACAAGGAAATTCAGGGAGATTCCCATGCTAATATGTCTTACAGATTTGAGTATCTCTATAACTTGGTCTAAGACAAATATCAAACAACTTGTTAATGAAGTTTCATTAATAAAGTTATAATAGTCATTTTGGCACCTGGATGAGAAATTCAGACTTTTCCCTTGCCTTCTCTACTCTTTTCCCTTTGTTACTCCGTGTTTAGTTTATAAATTTTATTTTCTTCCTTCTTTTTGTCTTCATTCCTTGCCTTCCATCCTAATTTTCTCCATCTTCTTGTTCCCCATTCTTCTCCTATTTTTTGCCTTCTCTTTTTGATCTGCTATCCTTTCTGTTTTTTAAAACTTTCCATTTTCTCTCTTCCTCTTTAATCTTTATTATTATTATTATTATTAATTGCTTATCCTCCCTCTTCTCCTCCCAAAATCCACTTCTAATATATACATTGTTTTTCTTTCTTGACCCTAAAGCCTTTGGGGTAATTTCTGAGGACACGGGACCTGATAGATATCTCTACAATAGGATCATTCAAGAACAGAGCAGGGTCAAT